TGTGTTCCGTACAATCGTACGGCATAGTCCTAAACTGCGACTGTTTGAGTAAACAGCATTAACCGAATTGTCTACATACTGGGGGCACACTGTGTCCTATCAGATGGGAAATGAAATTTCAAGTATCATTTAAATGAATTTCAGGATTAAAGAGTTTTAATTATCCAAACTTAATAATGAACACAACATCTGCGATTTCTTTCCCTGAACAACAGAAGTGAAACGACCCGGAAGAACATTTCAATAGGTAACACAGTTGACTATTCTGTTTGAAATTGTTCGTGGTTCTCTTTTGGCACTTCGGAGAACTACCGTGCTAGCCACTTAAAATCAGTCTTGACCACTTCCGATTCAGTTGTCATGCCAGGTCCAATTTGATGGGGCGTGCACAATTTGAATAGTTCTCACAGCCAGCAAACAAGAACTACACATACTAAGATCGAAAAATACGGATGGTAAATTACAATTTTTTCCGCTATGAGATTGCAAGGCTAAGATATTGCAATCTTCCAATTGCACTTGCCTCCCCTAAGCTCAACACCAAAGGCATCAGCAGTGTGCTGTTGAGATTTTGTGATTCTTTTTACAGGCGCTGATCCCCGCCTCTAACTTGAAATGATTAAACTTCTTAAAATTTGTGTGTAACTTGTTTGTGAAAAATCTGACTCTTGGTTCCTTGTATTTCTCTCTCTCTCTCTCTCCCTCTCTATAGCTCTACAGCTTTTTGGACCTTGGCCTCTTTTTCAGTTTCTTAATCCTATACAACTGGATAATGTGAAATGTTTTAAATATTTGGGTAGCTTGTTAACAGATGATGGAAGGTGTACTAGTGAAATTAAATCCAGGATTTCCATGGCAAAAGCTGCATTTAGCAAGAAGAAGAATCTTTTTACCAGCAAATTGGACTTAAATTTGAGGAAGAAACTAGTGAAATGCTACATTTGGAGCATTGCTCTGTATGGGGCTGAAACTTGGACACTTAGGGCAGTAGATCAGAAACGCCTGGAAAACTTCGAAATGTGGTGTTGGAGAAGGAAACAGAAGATCAGTTGGACCGATTATGTGAGAAATGAAGAAGTGTTATTTAGAGTCAGTGAGCAGAGGAATATCCTACATGAAATAAGAAAACGGAAGG